TTTAAAAGCAGCAGCAGGAGTTTTTTGCCGTTTGCTCATGTGTGCCACTGGCACTGGCACTGTGGTGAGTGCTGGGTGAACTTTGTCGTTACGGTCGGTCGTTGTCGCTGCAGTGTGGCTGCGCCAGTCGCCGCGACTTTGTCGTTTGTCGTTACGGTCGGTCGTTGTCGCTGCAGTGTGGCTGCGCCAGTCGCCGCGACTTTGTCGTTTGTCGTTACGGTCGGTCGCTGTCGCTGCAGTGTGTCTTGGCCTTAACTCACACGGGGACATGAGCAGTAGACTAGATCAGGATGGATAGTTTGAACTCGCAGTATAGATAAAATAACCATATATTGACTAAGGACAGGATAAAATATAGACAGCACATAAATATAACGAGCAACACCTGGGCGCAGCTATTTTGGATCATACGGATGGGGTCTAGGGAACTCGCAGCTAGGGCCTTCATACCTCCCAAATCCCATTGGTTGATACAAATCACGTGCCTCAACTGCCTCAATGACGTCACAGTGTTGTCATATTTATGGCACATCCATAGTCCATAAACCCAATCAGCCTGAATGGTCGAGCACGTACATCATGGACTTTCAGTGCTGAAAGGTCCTTGGATCGAATCCCATCTGTTTTTTAATTATTTTCCTGTTTTCTGTATTTTTCTAGCTTTATCCATTTAACTATTTTTTTCCAATTAAAGTAAATATTTACATGATTTATTTACACTAATTTAATAACAACAATTTTTACAACAATTTTTTTTAAATAGGGTAATTAGGGTTAGGGGCACAATGCACCATAAAACAGGAGTTTCAGGCACGTGATTTGTATCAACCAATGGGATTTGGGAGGTATGCTTGCCCTAGCTGCGTGTGTCTAGGGAGAACAAGGGATGTAAACGAAAACACAATATATAAAGTATGATAATCAACGCGTTTATGTATTATTAATCAGCATAATATAGAGATTTGAATAGAATGAATTGTCTAGGTTGTCGAAGAGAGGAATATTTACTTAGAAATGAGTTGCGTCAGCAGGGGAGACAATTGTACCAGCCACGGAATCTGCGTGGGGAGTAGTATTTTGACGACGTGTACTTAACAACGGCTCGTAGGGGGGCGTTGCCAGCTAGGTTTATAAGGCACGCCGAACCGCAGCACAGGGGTGTTATTTTTCAGGTTAGGTAGCAGTGCTCAAAATAAGCGTTGTCCGGTTGTCCGAGACAACCAAAAATTGTAGCGGACAACCTGATTTGATGTCTGGATTTTTTTCCTTATTTCAAGCACTGGGTAGGAAGACGACCAGGAAGAAGGAGAAAAAGAAAACATTTTAGGTCCCGGGGAGATAGAATAGGGAATAGGAGAACGGGGTTTCAGGTAGGTAGAACTACGGGTACAAGGAATAAAACGGGAAGGAAAGAAGCACGGAATTTCAGGTCGGTAGAGCCAGGAGCGACTACGAGGGAGACACCCGTGGTGGCTACCTAGGTCTACGCGAAGAAAGGCAGGGTTCTCCCCAGGATGAAATTGAAACAAGGGGGAGGGGGATGCAGGGTTCAGCATTAACTTTTTATTTCACTAGACCATCGGGCTAGTAACTGAGGAAAACCACTAGCCCTGACGTAACTTTCACTTTTCTTCTTCTTTCCTTTTTCTTGCAAATGATAGGGGGGGCGACCGCCCCCCCTGCCCCCCCTGTGGCGCCGCCCCTGGTTATTAGTTATTTTTAGTCAGTGGTTGAACGATACGTGGTGGCAGTAGTGTTTGTGCCACTTCGACGGCTGTTGCATTTTGCGTCAACAGACGGCGTTAGTAACGCAACCATGGCGGAGGAAGGCGAAGGACGACGGTCAATAAGTGTAAATTCTAGTGATAGTACAACTACAAGTAGTGATTCTCCGATGAATCCTCCTACGATTTCACCACCGATGGATAACGGGAACATGTCGTTTCCGCCGTACTTCCAGCCACCAATGACTCCTGAGAAAATGTTCATGATGGATTTCAATGAAATGTTGCGTGCTGCGTTTTCTTGCTCTTCTCAGACTTCTGCTGGTACTGGTAGTGGTAGTGCTAGGCATAGTGGTGGGCCAGACGAACGCAGAAATGATGGCACGGGATTTCACGATGCGTCTAGTGTCAGTAGTGATGCCTCATCGAGCGGTTGCCGAATTGAACTGTGTCGCATATGCGGCGACAGAGCCACCGGGTTCCACTATTCTGTGTATAGCTGTGAGGGTTGCAAAGGCTTTTTCAAGAGAACAGTGCAGCGTGGTCTGGTGTACACATGTAAGGAGGGAAGTCGCATGTGTGTCATAAACAAGTACACAAGAAATGCATGCCAGTACTGTCGCTTTCAAAAATGCGCGGACACAGGAATGCGGCGAGATGGTAGGTCTAATGGAGTGTACTAGATTAGAATGTCTGTGTTGTACCTACTAGTACTAGTAGTAGTAGTAGTAGTACTAGTACTACTAGTAGTACTACTACTAGTGTGGAGATTTCAGGGGGTGTAAAGGCCAAGACGCACTGCAGCGACAACGACCGACCGTAACTACAAACGACTTTTTAGAAAATTGGAAACTATTGTTTCCTATGAGCCATTGCACAC